CAAGGCAGGGATGGTGGGGGACTCCCAAGTGTACGGAAAAAGTTAGAATTTTATCACACGTGAATATGCATTAATACAATATTTATTCTCTTCAAGCTTCCAATTTTCATTTGTTAACCAGAATAAGCTGGCTATAAAAACACTTTTTTCTTTGCTACAATTTGCATGCATAAAAGCTTACAACTTCCCCTTCAATGGCATCATCTTCTTCATCGAATGAAAGTCCTCTCTTCCGTACTAAACCCAGTTACTTCAAGATGAAGAAATGGCTCGAGGACGAACCCATTTTCGACGAGGAAAATATCCACCAATATTTCATTTTCACACAAGAAATGACCGGTTACTTTTTAAAATCAATCAGGCATAAAAATCGTATTATGCTGCAAGTAAAAGGCGAAATTCCGTTTTCTTTGTTTGATCTTGATACTGGAAAGACCCACCTACTGGTTCTCCAACTGGATATATTATCTAAATTTGTAGGGTTTATTCAAACATGGGTTTATTTCTGTCAAGAGAGAGGTTTCAAAGGGAAAGGGAAATAATGTATTGGAATGTTCGTTGATGAAGAGAAGATTGACATTTGTGAAGGTGTGGTTCCAACGTATTTTCAATGTTTTCATCACATTAATATGCCTCATCCACCATACACAAATCCGTTCTTGGTAGGGTGGATTATACAGTATAAATAATATTAGAAAAATAAAATCCATGTTAATAAAAGTTGAAAAAATATGTGGTTGAAAAATTGTAAGTCTCGTTAAATGTGTGGTTGAAAATGAATTTGAGAAAAAATGAGAGTCAAATTTGGTCTTAATTATTAATTTATGGTAAAAAACTTGTGTTAAATGAACCAATTAAGACAAACAATGGGAATAAGTCACATGCTATATATTATTCTCCCTTAACATTTTTTGGACAAGTTTAGTGGATTAAAAGATAGAAAAAGAGAAATGTGAGAAGACAGTGTATTTTGTGTATGCAAGTTATATTAATGTTTAAATAACAATTTTTACTTATATAGAAATTTTTTCTTCTCTAACCGTTATAGATTTTCCATATATTGATAAATAATCGTAAAATTATCACACGCCAATAAATAATGTGCATGCATCAACTTTTGACAAATAAATAGATAAACTCAATTTATAATACGTGAAAGTGCGTGTTGAAAACTTGTTTCTTGACTTTAACATGAATGAAAATGATCTCGACTCTTTTTAAGTTAGCACATAATTTTATTGTAGGCAAGGCAAAAAAAAAAAGGATGAGAATGATAATAAAAAATAAATCTATTACACGTAACTTGAATCCAAAATAGTAATACAAAAAAATCTCTAACTGCACGCCCAGTGGGACTCGAACCCACAATCGCCTGATTAGAAGTCAGACGCCTTATCCATTAGGCCATGGGCGCCTCCTCGTTAAGTGAATTACACACAGTTATATATTATTTAATTGATTTGGATTCAAATCCCATTATTCATTTGATTTGATTGAGCATGTTGAGACTGGGCTTACAAAGAAAAAGCCCATGCGCTTGGATGGCTTTTCTTTTTTAAGCTCTTGATAGTGTCCAAATTACAGAATCTTCTGAGTTTAATTGAAGATTTCAAATAAAGTCAAATTTTTTAACAATTCTTCCAAAAAAAAAAAAATTCTAATTGTAACCTAATTCTTTGTGAAATTAAATATTAGTATTTTTGTTAATAATTTTTGGGTACGTTTTCTTATATCAACTACTGATTGAGACAAATGCATGATACCGATAGTAATGTAGAGATGAAATTGAAATCTCAATAAATTAGTATGGGCTGGAAGGTAAATAGGTAATTTACTTGGTCAATCCTTTTTGTAAGTTTGTACAAGTGGGATGGGTCAAGCTTATTGCCTCATTTTATTTTATTTTTTCAAATTTATTTGGGGCTCAAAAATAAGCCAGCCTACAATCTGAAATATTGTGTGATCGGTGAAAATCTGATATTCAAACACCTTTTGAGCATATGTTACTCAAGATCAGGCTGAAGAAAGTATTGGACAATTGATTCAACTGTCCCCACATTTACTATATAGGCATATAGCCAGCTACTTTGAGAAATTTTCTTCATAATAACCCACATTCCATTTTTGGTGCATGTTTATATATTTTCTGATATGGGGTTCGATATTTATATTTTGTCATCACTTTTTCAGAATTACTAGCTAAAATAAGAAGACGACGTGAACTAGAACATTTTGCGTTCAAGCAAGCATGAAGAGAACTAACAAACAAAACCCTCATTACACGAAACCCATACATACAGTTTCTTACAGCTTTGATAAATATTAAAAAAGAAAAGAAGCGTAATCTTAGTTTAGTGTACAGTCCAATACTGTGCCAATATGTATGTATCTACAGTGCATTAGCAGATATGAAATGCACCAGACAACAACTATGCTAACTTTTTGCTTCTTTAATCCACATTCCATCCAAAACCCAAATTAGAAACAGATCACAGAGCTTCTGGAAAGCGCAATTCTGCTGGACCGGGACCTAAAATGCCTTTCTGCTCGGTTATCTTCCCCAATCCGAAAGCTGAGTCTGTCTTTCCATTCTTCTCGTCTTCTCTCCAATCAGTCCCTTGCCAACCTCTCTGTGACATCAAAAAAATCCAATTCACAAAAATGAGAGTAAACTCAATCAACTTGCCACTATAAACATGTACACTAACAGCATGTATACCAACAGCATTCTACATTTTTCTATTGATTTAGACTGCTGTCTTATTCTTATAAACTAGATGGCTTCATTAATGCAAACTTTGCAAGCAATTCTCAACTTTGAAGGTAAGTGGACCTGTAATATTCTGATAGCCTCTATGAAATTTAAAATTGAAGTTTCCCCTTTATTTCTGCATGACCAATAATGGACTTACTCCAATCCAGATAAAAAGTTAGGTAGTGAACTTGACCCATGGACTAATGATGGATATCTTTCATGACTTTATCCTGCATTTGGATCTCAATATATTCTGAACAAGGTTGGCAAAATTCAAAGATGCCCACATTTTTCTCTTCACTCACAAGGAAGAGCAAATACAACGCTTTATCATCTCCCATGCCTATCACTTCCTAAAAAACATATTCTGCAAACAGACGTCAATCTATGAGAAATCCGATAAAAATCGAGCTGTGGTTTTGTACCATGTGCTTTCTGGGGTCATTTACTTCCTATCATTAAGATTATACTTCTTGACTTATTGGACATGGATGCAGCTCATTTTAAAGTATTGTTATTGGGATAAATAGGCAATTTCTTTAATGTTAGGGAGGCTGGCGCATCCCGAAGTTCATCACAATTAAACGATCAGTCAGTCAACATAAAGTTAAATATACTATGAAACACGGAAAAACTCATTAGCTCGTTAAATTCAATTAAGCCATGAAAAGATTCCATAAAAATTAAACAAATCCCGTTTCTGTTTACATCAAGCAATATTTGGAGTAACTTCCAATAAAGCAGTGAAAGCAATACATCAAGGTGGATTGACACATTGGAATAGGTGTGCTTGTAAAAAAATTCAAAGTTAAAAATAAAAAAAGAAAAAAAGAACAACTTAAGACATTTTTATGTATTCCAAAACAAATACAGGTCATACAACTGGGGATAAATTGCCTACTCAAAAGTATAAAGAGCAAATTATAGAAACTCCCCATGAAGTAACTAGCTATTTCAAAAACACCTAATCCCTTACCATAAGTTACAAACCTCCCGAGTTTTTTTATTCATAACAATTCCTATCAAGCAAATATATATAGAAATGATTTATTAAGCATCGAGGTTAGCTTATGCTAAGTGACGATGATATGGCACATCAATCCATTAGATGAGAAGTTTATGGTGAGTCTCTAGATTTGAATTAATTTTTTTATCCAACAAAGATTGATGTGTCATGTCATTTGTGCTTGCAGCAGTGCTAGGTAGATCATTTCTCTCTCTCTATATATTTACCAATTTACCCTTTTGTCTATGATATATTTAAAATTATCATTAAAGGACATTAAACTCTTTTTTCTCATGTCTTAAGATTTTTTTTTTCAATATTTTTTATTAGATGGGACGTTGTTTTTATTAAAGTATATGTTTTAATATCAAAATAGGATTAATAGAAATGTGTTTGTTTGTAAATATAATATTAACAAATGAAAACAAATATATGTATTAAGATGACAAACAGAGAAAAAATATGCAATTTAACCACTCAAGTTTCAATAATTTCTAATTTTGATCGATTCGGTTCATTCGCAATCCTATTTTAAGATACTATGAACTAAAAGTCTAAAACATTGTTTCATCTTCTCCACAAAAATGCTAAACATGTTCCATGCATTTAGTTTGAAAAAGGAACAATAGGGTTGAGATGACACCTTTTTATAGTAAACTTGATCTTGTGAAATTTTCTTTGTTTGGTTTCCATTTTCTACTTGGGTTGGATACATGAACACTTTTTCCATTCCATTCAACTTGAACGCTCTCCTTTGCAGGGTCCAAGGAAGTTAAATCTTTTAACTGTATCACAGCATGCAATTATAAATTCTTTCAATTTCTAACTCATTCCACTTGACACATGCTCTTGTGAACGGAAGATCCTTCATATTTATTTAATAGATATCCCAACTATTTGAATCATCTCTCTTTTTCTCTTAATTTATCTTCAATTGGAATGACCTCCACTTGGTGGCATATATAATCATTTTTTAGTTGATCAATTCTAACATAGCTACATATCCATCTTAATAACCTCGTATCATTTATATTTATCTCATTGACCTTTTAGCTCTTTAATGGCCCAACATATAGTACCATAAGGCATAGTCAATTTAATAGTCACTCTACAAAATTCTACTTTTGGCTTGGTAGGTTTTCTTACCATATAGTATCTCTAGTACTTCTCAATTTCATCCAACCCATTAGAATCTTATGCCCTACTTCACACCCAATCCCTATTTCCTCATTAATAGTTAACCTTTAGTACTTTTTACAATTATCCTCTTGGATAAAATGATCTATTTTAAATTGAGAACAGCCCCTATTCACACTTCGACTAAAAGGACATTACACATATTCTGTTCTAACTCCTAACATGAAACCCTCAGATTCCAAAATAGTCATGTATAGTTAAAGAACTTACAATTTATGTCTTTGCAATTAAAACTAAATTATCAGCAAGTAACTGATACCAACTACAAAATATAGGAATTATGATGATATACATGGACCCAAATTCAATTCTTTCCACATCCTCTAGTTTATTGTCCATAGCTCTAACACATTTCTATTAAAGCAGCTCCTTAATAATTACAGACTTGATAATATTTCTACAGAACCCTCGTATGTTACAGAAAACAACTTCAAAACCGTGCGATACACCATGGAAATCATCACCAATAACAAACACGTCACAGAAACTGCTTGAAACCTTCAGCTTCCCAACCCCAAAAAGCAATGTCACCTACAGAACCTCTTAAACCTGCTTCACTTCTCACTTTTACCTTCCTTTCATATTCTAGAAGCTCATCTAATCTTAGACTAGGAATTTATATAGATCATTTAAAGAAACGAAATCTAACAAAAATTAGCTAATGTTTTTTTAATAATCTTTGCATTGAAGAATCAACCATACAAAATCCTTTCTAATATGTTAGAATCTGATAGTCATCTTGTCATTTTTATTTACTCACCAGATTTCTCCCTGCCCAATGAAGACAGGATTGTTTTTATGTCTAACAGCTATTACCTTCAACCATGATGCGAAAGCAATTTGGGTTTCTTTCGATGTCTCTGCAACTACTAGTTTTCCTAATTCCACTACTTAAGTCTCAATACATCGCTAGGCAAGGACCATCCGTCACATTGTCGTGGTAAACATCACCGTTAGTTAAAAGAGATTTTGTAACGATCTCACTTTATTTTCCTTCTAAAGTTCTGTATAGTGTGGCATCTACTTTAAAAGCATAACTTTAAGACCCATAATAAGTAGGGTATATATTTTTGGCTCCAATGGGTGCACCATGGTATAACTTTCATGGTGCTTCAAAAGACAATGAAGTAGCCAAATGTCCACCACAGCATGACATTAAGACATTATTAGTCGGATTCATTGTTTTTATGAGTTAAAACTTTGCTGCTACAGAAGTTAGACTGCAGCTACTTTAAGATGATAATATTTTGGTTATGAAGCACATTGAATAAACTACACCTGTCAGTTACGAAATCTATTGTGCCTAAAACAACGGCCCTTTCTCATGATACCCTTTGTATTTTTACGAGCACTTGCCTCATCATGATTGTAGCTCCCATCTTCCAACACTGGCGTGGAGAGAGGAGGGGCAATATCTGGATCTGGCTTTTGAAAAATGAATGTGGTGTATAGACCTGCAGAAGAATTCAGAAAGAAACACGTGTAACTTTAAAAAATAGGCAAGAGTTTAATTCTAATGTAATGAGACGTGTAGTAAATGAATCACCTAAAACATCATATGATCTGGGAAGAAGTCTCCCTCTAGGATCAACAAGGTTGGGACCAGCATCCATCAACATACCTGCAAATTGTGCTCTTAAGAGCCAAGGGATATTAACAAAAGTCAGATTTTCCCTTTGAAATAATGTATCAGCAGCTAATCATAAATGATGATCATCTGCTTTAAGTACTACACTTTCAATAACTGTATTATATTTTCAGTGCTTAGAAGCTACCCAGAAATTCAAATTCAATAATATAAGGAAAGAATCCATGAAATTTGCAGCTATATTTAACCTTCTTCCAAAAAAAATTTACGGACGGTATCATTTTGCTACACAAACAAGCTTCAAGAAAAAGAGACAACCCTGTCCATACTAGAGTTTAGATTCAGAAATCTGGAATTCCCTCTCCAACTAGTCATAGCCATCTTTGGGTGAGAATGACAATCTAGAAGGGGAGATTATGTACTGAAAAAAACTGGCAGACCAAGCTTTGGGAACACATATCTATTTTAAAAACAGTATTTGAAGTAAAATATGAAATCAAGCACACATCTGAAGAAAAAGTAAAGTTCGGCAGTTTTTTCTTTAATTTTTCGTTTATGTAAAAAAGATTCCAATTTATGATAGTATAGAAAGTGGAAACAGGTAACATCTATCCGTTACGACTTCCTTTGACGTTATTTAGCAGAACACTTAGTGTGTATACCAAAAAATTTTACTAAGCACAATTTACAGTATAAAATAACAAATTTGTATAGTTTAAAACCATGATGCACCCATATGTTCCTAACAATTAATAGATTACTGTGAAAACATCCACGTTCCATTACGTGTCAAAACACTGGGAGAACAATAGCAACTCTTGATTACCTTCAACAAATAAAAAATTTGATAGTAACTCAAACAATATCAATGAAGTGTTTCTTGAGCCACTAGGGCTCTAGAGAAAAAAGTAATAAAAATAAAAAATAAAAAATAAAAAATAAAAAGAAGAAGAAGAAGAAAGAAGCTAAGTACCATGATTTAAAATTGAACTCAATACCAAGTAGCTAACGTAGACAGGTTGATTAACGGGCAGCCTCTTACTAGATGGCCAATTAACCGACCACATCTTAACAGACGCGAACACTTCTTAACGGGCAATCACTATGCCTTTCAATAAGTGATCCTTTAACATACATTTTGCTTGGTATACATTCATGGTTGACATTTTTTTATTTTTTATTTTTTTTGACATTGTGTGATGTGACACACAATTTTTTCGTTGATTTTAACAACACTTAAATAATCAACGATATCGATTTTTACACCTCACGCAATGTTAATCATGATGTACACAAAGAATGTACAAGAAGAATAATTCTTTTGTTTTACCTAACTCACTATATGATGCAGACTTATTTTTAAAAAATTCATAGGGGAAATTCCCTAATACGTCCAATAATTTATACAATTTCATCGATATATGTTAAAATAAGCCAACATAACATTTAACAATTATAAACGAAACCCAAACTCACGTAACTCAAGAAAGTATTGACTTCTAATAACAGTCCACGAGATGCTTATATTGAGTTTTGAGGATAAATTAAATAAATAGGAATTAAGAAGATTTAGTGTTGAAGGAGATGAATATATGGGAAATAAAAGAGTCATTCATTTGTTTGAAATTTGAGTTTATTATGATATATCAATTTTCTTTTTGCAATTGAAAGGTTATTCATATCTTTTAATTTTAACTTATTTTTAGTAGTTTTTAAATCTTAACAAGGATATGAAATCTTTTATTTGGGATACTGGTGTTCGTAAATGTGAAGACGTTGGTAGTGGCAAGCAACTGTGGTGCAAGCAGATAGTGAGGGCAATGGTGTTTAGATGGGAATTGGGGCATTGATTTTTATGGTGGTATGTGTGATTTTTAGTTGTGGTGGAGCCGAATTATGGTGGTGGTGATGGCAATGGTGCAGCTTGGGTAGCAGTGGCACATATCGATTTTAATGACAATGGTGATGGTTTATGGTGGTGGTAATAGTAGCAAAAATGGTGGTGATGGCGAGGGATTTGTAGATTGAGGTGGAGGTGGTGGCGGAAAAAACTAACGAAATGTGGCTAATGTGTAGCACGATCATAAAGTCATAATTTATTACATGTGTAACATGAGCATGGCTACACGTGTAACACATTGTGTTGCCACGTGTTACCAAAAAACAGCAATCTGAGGTGTAATTTCATTTTAGGTTATTCGTGAACAATCCTTCTTGTCGTACCGAATAATGGTTCACAGAACCATTACATAACACACACATGGAGGGTAGATGGGGTGAGTATTTTTTACTCACATGTGGGCCCCAAGTGAGTGTTGTGTAATGGTAATGTGAACCATAAGTTGTACAAACGGACTTATTAATTTGTGAAAGTAACACTTTATTTTCTCTAGATTTATGATAGTCCATGCAGAAATCCATCCGATTTAATAGGTTTCATTAAAATATTTCTATACTTTTAATGGAGATTCAAACTTGATATATTGTAATCATTACGAGTAACTCACAAGCAAGACATCCTAATGTGTAAATGCATAAATGCATGCGTTCGCCCCCAGGGCACATCTCCAAGTGGTAAAAGAGGAGGGTGGAGAATTCCAGCTTTGCTTGAGGCTGCTGCGTTAAGTGTTCGAATCCTGAAATATGGATTTGGCTCTTGAGTAAGTGCAAGTGTACAAGCAGCCTTCCACCCTGTATCCTTATAGGTATAACTTGCGATTTACCTCCCTCACGATTCTCCAAGGCAGGGATGGTGGGGGACTCCCAAGTGTACGGAAAAAGTTAGAATTTTATCACACGTGAATATGCATTAATACAATATTTATTCTCTTCAAGCTTCCAATTTTCATTTGTTAACCAGAATAAGCTGGCTATAAAAACACTTTTTTCTTTGCTACAATTTGCATGCATAAAAGCTTACAACTTCCCCTTCAATGGCATCATCTTCTTCATCGAATGAAAGTCCTCTCTTCCGTACTAAACCCAGTTACTTCAAGATGAAGAAATGGCTCGAGGACGAACCCATTTTCGACGAGGAAAATATCCACCAATATTTCATTTTCACACAAGAAATGACCGGTTACTTTTTAAAATCAATCAGGCATAAAAATCGTATTATGCTGCAAGTAAAAGGCGAAATTCCGTTTTCTTTGTTTGATCTTGATACTGGAAAGACCCACCTACTGGTTCTCCAACTGGATATATTATCTAAATTTGTAGGGTTTATTCAAACATGGGTTTATTTCTGTCAAGAGAGAGGTTTCAAAGGGAAAGGGAAAGGGAAATAATGTATTGGAATGTTCGTTGATGAAGAGAAGATTGACATTTGTGAAGGTGTGGTTCCAACGTATTTTCAATGTTTTCATCACATTAATATGCCTCATCCACCATACACAAATCCGTTCTTGGTAGGGTGGATTATACAGTATAAATAATATTAGAAAAATAAAATCCATGTTAATAAAAGTTGAAAAAATATGTGGTTGAAAAATTGTAAGTCTCGTTAAATGTGTGGTTGAAAATGAATTTGAGAAAAAATGAGAGTCAAATTTGGTCTTAATTATTAATTTATGGTAAAAAACTTGTGTTAAATGAACCAATTAAGACAAACAATGGGAATAAGTCACATGCTATATATTATTCTCCCTTAACATTTTTTGGACAAGTTTAGTGGATTAAAAGATAGAAAAAGAGAAATGTGAGAAGACAGTGTATTTTGTGTATGCAAGTTATATTAATGTTTAAATAACAATTTTTACTTATATAGAAATTTTTTCTTCTCTAACCGTTATAGATTTTCCATATATTGATAAATAATCGTAAAATTATCACACGCCAATAAATAATGTGCATGCATCAACTTTTGACAAATAAATAGATAAACTCAATTTATAATACGTGAAAGTGCGTGTTGAAAACTTGTTTCTTGACTTTAACATGAATGAAAATGATCTCGACTCTTTTTAAGTTAGCACATAATTTTATTGTAGGCAAGGAAAAAAAAGGATGAGAATGATAATAAAAAATAAATCTATTACACGTAACTTGAATCCAAAATAGTAATACAAAAAATTCTTTAAATGCACGCCCAGTGGGACTCGAACCCACAATCGCCTGATTAGAAGTCAGACGCCTTATCCATTAGGCCATGGGCGCCTCCCTGTGAAGTGAATTACACATTACTATATATTATTTGATTGATTTGGATTCAAATCTCATTATTCATTTGATTTGATTGAGCATGTTGAGACTGGGCTTACAAAGAAAAAGCCCATGCGCTTGGGTGGCTTTTCTTTTTTAAGCTATTGATAGTGTCCAAATTACAGAATCTTCTGAGAGTTTAATTGAAGATTTAAAGTAAAGTCAAATTTTTTAACAATTTTTCCCAAAAAAAAAAAAAAAAAATTCTAATTGTAACCTAATTCTTTGTGAAATTAAATATTAGTATTTTCGTTAATAATTTTTGGGTACATTTTCTTATATCAACTACTGATTGGGACAAATGCGTGATACCGATAGTAATGTAGAGATGAAATTGAAATCTCAATAAATTAGTATGGGCTGGAAGGTAAATGGGTAATTCACTTGGTCAATCCTTTTTGTAAGTTTGTACAAGTGGGATGGGTCAAGCTTATTGCCTCATTTGATTTTATTTTTTCAAATTTATTTGGGGCTCAAAAATAAGCCAGCCTATAATCTGAAATATTGTGTGATCGGTGAAAATTTGATATTCAAACACCTTTTGAGCATATGTTACTCAAGATCAGGCTGAAGAAAGTATTGGACAATTGATTCAACTGTCCCCACATTTACCATATAGGCATATAGCCAGCTATTTGGAGAAATTTTCTTCATAATAACCCACATTCCATTTTTGGTGCATGTTTATATATTTTCTGATATGGGTTTCGATGTTTATATTTTCTCATAACTTTTTCAGAATTACTAGCTAAAATAAGAAGACGACATGAACTAGAACATTTTACGTTCAAGCAAGCATGAAGAGTTTAGTGCATCGAGAAACTAACAAACAAAACCCTCATTACAC